AGATTAGATTTATTATATTAATTGAAATTGGATTGCAATTACATTCTTAATATTTGTTGGTGCTTAGTTGCATTTATTCAAGTTTCTTACATTTTTTATGTTGACTAGATGTTATTTATTTGTGACTATTTTTACTAGTTTTAATTAAATTAAAATTACTAAATTTAAACAGTAAATTTTCTTAAATTATAATGGTTCTTACATGGAATATGACAAAAAAAGTAATTCTATGATTTTAGAAACATTTCTTATGAGAAGAAAAAGAGCAGACAGGTGTGTATCTTAGAGTCTTAGAGCTACATGGTTTAAAAGTTTACCCACAACAGTCAAAACAGTGCATAAAACTTTTTAATTACTGAAATAGCTGGCAAAAAAACCTGAAGTCAGTGTAGGAGAAAGATTTTCTTTATCTTTTGATGAATGGACATCACTATGTAACTATTGTTATATGGATATTAATTTAAATGCGCAAAATTGCTAGTTCTGGATCTTAAGGTAAACATTGTATAATAGGATCAATGCCTGCAGATAAGTGTAAAAACTTGCACAACATGGACTTGATTTGCGAAAAGATATTGTTGGTATTATGATTGACGGAGCAAGTGTGAAGAAAAAAAGTTGGGATAATATTACCTGTAAATTAACAGTTATATTTTGTCAATAGTGTGCAAATTGCTGTTATTAAAGTACTATATCAAAAGCAGAATATAGTAAGAGAAATACATCACTAATTTGACGAAGACAAACAATCATATATAGAAGATAATTTTTAGAGAGTAGCTCTTGCAAGGATGATGATTTTTCTGACAATCAATTTGAGGTAAGTTGTGGTCCAGTGATTAAAAAAGTATGAAAATTAATAGTAATGTTCAGACAATCACACACACAAAAAAAAAACAGTATTTTGCAGAAGTATGTTACGACTTAATTTGGCAAATAATAAGCAAAGCAAATAAATCTAATAAAAGACTGCAAGACTAGATAGAACAGTCTTTTGTCAATGCTTCAATGTGTCTATTTATTAAAAAAATGTATACAAAAGACATTAATAGACATAAGTCTACCAAAAGGTGAATCTTTGGCTTTATTTAATAATGAGATTAAAACTGTATCTGTTATCATTAATGCGCTAGTCCCAGTAAAAGCAACAGTTGAGGTCTTTTGCTGCCGGTATGTTAATTTGTTTACAGCCAATGTTACCATAACTTTTATGTTAATAATATTATAAGTCAATTGAATTGACGTATAACATTGTTGCATTCAATTTGAAGGCAACAAAGGCATAACAATCTAAGCAAGATCTTTCGGTATCTGCACATAGGTAGAACCAACATTCAGTCCGAATCTGAAATATATATAAAGATTGAACTGCTAATAGCAGTTCCATCTTCAATAAAATGTCGCATTATTACATTACAAGACTAGAAGCTTCAAATCCAGCTACATCATTAACAGCTTATGAGTCTGAATCCGAATTTCAACTTGATGTTTCAAATGCGTCTTTAAAACTCCATTTAAAAAAAAAATAACAAAAAAACAAAAAACAAATTCACTACCAAAAAAGATTGCATGCAACCACTATTTAAGCTGGGAGTTAATAGAAAGCAAAGAAGACTTAAAGAGCAAAAAAAAAACAGAGAAGACACAAAAAACAACAACAGAGAAGACACAAAAAACAACAACAGAGAAGACACAAAAAACAACAACAGAGAAGATAAAAAAAACTAGTATAAGCATAAAAGGTCACTATAGTCTTGGTTTTGGTGATTATTCTTTACCTTGGCTTTAAACCCAAAAGATCTAGATTCGGTCATCTACAGTTGCTGGTTTTATGCTCACTTGAGGCTCAGAATTTTAAACATGACATAGTGACATGATTTAAAATTCTTTACAATCATTTCTGTACTAAAAGTTCAATGTTCTTTGTGATTGAAAACAATAACTACATTCGTGGTTATATTTATAAAATATGCAAACAACATAGTTGCTTAGATTCTTGATAGTTTTTCTGGGTTTCTAAGATTGATAATACCTTTGACCTTGCATGCTGTATAAGCAAAAAATATTTCTCTTTTAAAAAATAAAAGTAACTCTTCCAATTTTAAAAAACTGTGTTTAGTTTGAAAATATGTTTTAAATAACTGCTTCTTTTGCTACTGCATTATTTTTGTATAAACCAACATGTCCTTTAGAACATGCATTTGTCGTTTTAACAAATATGAATAAACTCTTTAAATCTTTGAATCACAATGACTAGGATAGAGGCCTTGGTAAAAATGAAGAGAAGTCACCTTTTTTGAAACTGATTTTATTAAGCAAATATAAAATAAGAAAAAAAAAGGGTTAGAAGTTTACTGTAGCTTGATGTATATTGGCATCTATACCTCCTAATTTATTCCTACCTATACAAGAGTAAACCAAGTAAATGGTAAGAGTAAGCAATTAGTCCCCCCCTCCCTCCCAAAAAAAAACAACAACTTGTTTACACTAATAATATCTCAACAAACCAAAAAATTCTAATGACAAAAAATGAAAAATATTAGGATATCAAAGGTTACATATGCAACATTAATAAAAATAAAAAATATAAAGATATCAAAGGTTACATATGCAACATTAATAAAAATGAAAAATATTAAGATATCAAAGGTTACATATGCAACATTAATAAAAATGAAAAATAATGACATATAGCAATAAAATTAATAGCAAATAGTAATATAGTCAAAAAAAATCTCAAATTTTAGTGACAGTGTTGGCTTGTATTTCTTCAGGGAAGTATTGTTCAAGGTAATTTCAGTTTAACATTCATTGTAATGTTAAACTAATAATATACCTCTTCCTTGTCTTTTTTACTGTTCCAGATTTAACTAATAGAAAGTCTCGTTCTTTTACATTAATATCACACAAATCATCTAAGATGATTTGTGTGATATTAATATAAATGAAATTTATTAAACTTTGAGATGAGAATTATTAAATTTTTCCCATCTGAGGATGCCAAATATTTGGATAAATTTTTTTTAAGTGGTTCTTTATTATTCTTTATTATATGTTGGAATTCAGTATTATATTCTGTAAACTGAAATAAATTTCATTTATAAATTTTACAAACTTTCTATTACTGGACCTTTTCTCAATTGATCTTTCTCAGAAATGTCATCAACTCTTCTTATACTTATCATATCATATTTATTATTCTTCTTCATACCCTTATCATATCATATTTATTCTTCTTCTTCATACCCTTATCATATCATATTTATTATTCTTCTTCATACCCTTATCATATCATATTTATTATTCTTCTTCATACCCTTATCATATCATATTTATTATTCTTCTTCATACCCTTATCATATCATATCATATTCGTATCATATTTTCTTCGCCATAATCATCATTAAAAATAATCTAAACATAAAAGTTTTTTGAACTTATCTTTTCTAGAATTTTTACTAGATGGAAACCTCACTACCTCTAATATTAAAAATCCAAATGTATTGCAATCTCTGCTACCTTTTGATTACACATCTAGCTTTCCCACATTTTGATTCCACTTCTAGCTCTTCCACCTTTTGATTTTACTTTAATCTCTGCTACCTTTTGATTCACAAAAACAATGTATAGCAATGTTCAAATGGTTTACATAATCAGATTTTTTACCTCACTTTAACAATTTAGAGGCTTTTCTAAAGTTAGAAAACTAAAGAATAACTCATTTTTTCAACTTCAGAAAAGCCTTTGAATTATTTAAAGGTGATAAAAGTTTTTGATTATGTAGAACGCTACTAAAAACCTTTTTTTGAAATAAACTTGCTCAATTTGTAAAATCGATAGCTCTGTTTGCAAAACTAATAACTCTGTAAAATCATTAGGTAAAAAAAAATTTCTAAGCACCAGAAAGTCCAGTTAATGCTAAAAAAATTTCTAAGCACCAGAAAGTCCAGTTAATGCTAAAAAAATTTCTAAGCACCAGAAAGTCCAGTTAATGCTAAAATTCTCATTTCAGTGCAAAAAATAAAAATAAAAATTGGAGAACAGCAGAAGAATAAATTAAAACAAAAATAGATGTTTGATTATTGAGAGAAACTATTTTTAATATAAAAAAAAATTTGCTTATTGTTATGACACTATATCATAGATCATCCAGGTCTTAAAAAATCCGGGAAAATGTTTGGGTAATATATCTGGAAAAAGTCCAGAATATATTTTCCCTTATTTTCCTCCTAATTTTACCTTTAGCTGAGTTGTTTTCAATTTTTTTTCCAAACTTTTTCTTATTTTTGTATTAGTGATGAGTGAAAAAGGTTAAAAAACAAATATATTACAAAAATATACACTCAAACTTGTATGTATGAAAAACATTTTGGATATTCGGAAATACAATGAGTAGAGAAAAATACCCGGAATTCCGTAAATATCTGGAAAAAGATAACCCCTGCTATATTAAAAGAAAGATTTAAAATTGTTAAAAAAAAAGCTTTAAAAAATATTCGCAAAAGCTATTAAAAATGAGCCTTTTTTTTTTTTTAAATTTGGTTGTTTATAGTTTTGATAAAAAAAACCAAATATGGAAAATATTTAAAAAAGAAATATTATTTTAGTTTTTTCAAGTTTTTTTTAATTACAAAAAAATAAAAACTATATTTCTAAAGAAATGTTCCTGTTTATGACTATTATGGCCATCAATTCCAATCGATTTGCAAAAATTTAAATATAAATAATCACTTATACCATAATACTTAGATATATCTATTAAAATCTGTAAAACTCGTTAAAAAGTGGACAAGGAATATAGAGAAAGATAAATAAAGGAAGAGGATACTATAAAGAAAAAATCAAAAACTAAAAAAAGAAAAAAAAGAAAAAAAGAATAAGAGATGAAAAAAATATTTAAAAAAAATAAATTTATAAGTATTTTTAATAACATTTAAGACTTTTGTGAAAAATTTATACGATGTGAAAAAAAATGCAAAAAATATAAAATGTAAAAAAACCTTTTGAAAAATTCCCAAAGAAGGAAATGTTCTAGCCACATCAAGCATAATCAATGCTAATGTATTTTCTTTGCTAACTATTACAGAATTTTCGGAATGATGATGGATGTTATCAAGCATTATTGGATCATTTATATTTTTCATTCTCTGTTCAGCATTTGCATGGTATATGTTAAACAACTCTAAAACAAAATTTAAACATTTTATTTTTACTTTCAGTTTAACAGAAAAATTAAAAATATACAAAAAAATCACTAATCAACCAAAACTATTAAAGGATCCTCAAGTGCCGAGACAAGTTGTGTTTATATCAAAAAGAACATTTAAAAATGTTTGGGCTGAATTTTATACATTGCGTTTTTAATTTTATAAATCCAATAACCCACACAAAAAAAACTAGTTTGTTGCTTTAGTCAAAGTTCTCCATTTTAGCCAGAACTTTAAGTGTTTTAAATTTACGTGCTTTTTTTAATGAAATTTTAATTCTAAAGAGTTTTAGTATACAACTTCATTGCAAAATTTTGAAAAGAAATTTATTAACTTTTTTTTTTTTTTTTTGTATATTACTAAACAATTTGTTTAGTTATTTTCAATTTTAGCAATATTTGCATTAAAAATATGATAAAATATTTCTGATATTTTAGGCTTGTTTATTGCCATAAATTGGTTTTGTGTTATTGCTATAAATTGTTTTTGTGTTTCTAAAAAAATTCAACCCAAACGTTTTTTTTACTATATATAAACATTCTCTTTACTATGTACATAACTTGTCTCAGTACTTAGGGATGCATTTAAAGTTAAATTTTTTTTAAGGTATATTAAGAAAATATTTTATCTGGCATACTTATTTTACATTTTTGATTAAAATGTTATAATTAATATGATTTTAATGTTATAACTCAAGAAATTAAAATAAAGAATACACTTTAACAGGTTGCTTAGCTTTGTAAAATATTTTTATCTAAGTATTTTGTTATTATAGATACTTTAATCATTAAAGTATTTTATAACATTAATAATGTTATAAATGTTATTTAGAAATACATTTATAAGATTTAAATGTTATTTAAAAATATATTTATGATGAGGTTAAAATAATAAATTTTAACACACTTGAAACTGTGCTAACACTTATCATTTATAAATTTCAAATCCAATGATGAAATGGCTACTAAGTCACAGGGTATGCAATCATATGGGTTTTTACTCTATATGAACTTTTACTTTTGCCAACCTTGATATACGAATTTTATAAACATAAAATGATGTGTTATTTACATATTATTTATATTGTCTTACTTTATTCCAAAAAACTGTATTGCTTGATAAGTAACATTTGGTTTAAATATTATTTTTATGATTTTTAGCTTTGTTTATTTTTGCTGCAGTTTTCATTCAATAAAGAAACAAACTTTGAAAAGTTTTTTACACTTATTTATAAAAATTTGAGTGTTGAATGTCATCCAAGAGTGACATCTTTTTTTTTGTTTTTTTTTGTTTGTTTTGTTTTTTATTACATTTTAAAACATGACGTTAATATTTTATAAAATTTACAAGCTAAAATAGAAAAATATAAACAATTACAATTGAAGATATTTAATATATATATAAAAAGAATGCGGAAACTCGTAGAAGACAGTAAGGTCTTGTCGTTGAGTACCGCGGTAAAAAGACGTTACATTTTTACAAGTTAAATATTTTACGTAGTAAATAAAAGTGTTATGCAATAATAAAAGAATAACAAGATATAAGTTAAAAAAACTACAAAAAAATAAAAAGTTCACAAAAAATTTCTTAAAGATAATTGGACACATAGTATAATAGCAATATAGGCTTGAAGATCGTAAATAATTAAGTTACAAATCATATCAAGAAAAATCATACATTACAAATCATATAAACCGATATAAATAATAGATAAAAAGAATTTTAAAAGGTTTAAAAGTACATTTGTATATTGTCAATTTCAAAAACTACTTCTTTCAACTATTTTTTAAAAGATATATAATTCCATTCAAAAGAAAAATCAAAGTATTTAAGACAATTTTGTTCCAAAGATACGGTCCCCGAAATGATACGCAAAATTTACAATGATTAGTTTTCGAAAATGGTTGCATCAAAAAACCATCATTTTGTAGATTATATTTATTTTTTTGTTTTGTTATAAATAAACTGTAAAAAGGAGATGGGGATAATTTCGCCGTCTAAGATTGGGGTTATTAAGTGCTGAGATTTTTAAAGGTTGGTACAAATGATGAAATTTAATTAAGTTTTCAAGGTCAGTAGATTTGATTAATGCAACTGTATTTTCTATTTATGGAAACAATAAGCAACTTTACATGGGAAGGGGAATGAAGCTTTATAAAGATATAATGAAGAATGACTTAAAAAAATAAGGTAATCAAAGTCCAGCAAGAGTTCAAGAGATGTAACATTACTTAAAAATATATCTAGGATTGCTGATTTTTGAGTTTAAATTAAAATAAATGGATGCAAACGTAAGTTCAACTCTGTAAAACATTCATTTAGATCATATTTCAGAAAATATTTTAAACATAATGAGTAATACATATGTCATTAGTAATGGAAAGATTCGGGCAATAGTCAATCTTATGAAGAGATTTGTATAATATTAGCTAGTACAATGTTTAATTTTCTTTTTTAATGAGTATCATTGTACCTCCTCCGATTCTAGATGCTCTGAGCTAGCATATTTGTAGTTCTTGTTTATTTGTTAGAGGATATTTTTCAATCTTTAATTAGTAAAGAACTAATTAAAGATTGAAAATATTACCGGCGTAATATTTTTAATCTTTAATTAGTTCAGGTATAGAATTCTTTATGCTGGTTTCTAGTAATACTTGACTCTATTGTACTGGAACATGCAATACTTTACTTCGACAACCATTGGTATGTGCGCGTATATATGTATATATATGTATATATGCATATGTGTGCATATATATGTAAAAATGTTAGTTGTCATTTTACATATATATATTTTTCCTGCAGTAGTTTTTGACATTTGACGTTGAAGTGGTTTCATTTACTGTTTTCGTTGTTATTGCTACATTTTATTTAAAGCCTTTTTTTTTGATTGGTTAGCAAAATTTGATGATGAAGTTTTATCTAACAATATTAATCACATTAGTAGTGTAGTTGAGTATTATTTTTTGGATTTCTATCAGATTATAGTAATTTTTATCATTTACATTTTAGCCTATTAATTTTTGTCATTTTTACTAAAAATTATTTTGTTTATATTTTATGCTATGCATTCATCTTATTTTTATATATTTTATGCTATGCATTTATCTTATTTATATATATATATATATATATATATATATATATATATATATATATATATATATATATATATATATATATATGTATATATATATATATATATATATATATATATATATATATATATATATATATATATATATATATATATATATATATATATATATATATATATACTACTTATCTTATTTTAAACTTATTATATTATTTCGTATTGAATTCACACCTTGCACTATCCATGTTATTTCTTCAAAAATATTAGTATTTTACAAATTTGGGTAAAGCTAGAATTTCGGCTGTTTGTAGTGAAATCTTTTTTACCGCAGTATGGAGTAAGCGTAAATCACAGTATAAAGCATAAATGGCGATGATGCCTATCTGACGGGATAAACTAGGTATTGGTGCTGAGCCTCTTAGAAACGCTGGTAATAAAAAAGGCAATTCTGAGGAGAAGTTTATTACCACCACTAAATAAATTATGATTACACAAAAACAATAATGTTTTTTCTTTATCTTATACCTCCTACCATTTTGTATTTATTTATTTTTAAATAGTGATATCTCTATGCAAATGTATGTTTGTGTTAAAGAAAGTTAAACATTTGTATTGTTTTAGGTATACTTTAACAATAAAATTACTGTTGACTATGATTGTGTATTAACATTTTCTTCTTAAAATAAATCTTTTTTAGTTAATATAAAAAGTTTTTTCAATAGAAATGTTTTATATTTCTCTGTGGGCTTTCATTGCTCAGTCTAGTTCAAGCACCGCAGATTACCTGCATCAAATATAACAAAAATATTTCAGATAGTAATCTAATTTTCATTCAACAAATCAAAAAATTACTTTATGAATGTGTAGTGATTAGCAAGTATCCAAGCATATTATAGGCCAGACATTTTCTTGTAAATGTCTTTGTTGTTCCGATAAGAATTAGACAATTAATTTAAGTTTTTTTTTTTTTTTTTTTTTTTTGCTTAGACATTATAAGAAAGTAACATCTATGGCAACTCCAAGAATGTTAAAAATTGATGCATAACATAACTGTTATGCATCAATGTTAAGCATTGATGCATAAAAGGGGCAGAGAGTGTTGGCTGGTATCATAAGCTAGAGAGATAGTGCTGAGGAACAATAAATATTAAAATATTTTTTATGTTTATAAGCTCAACTAAGGCTTGTCCTATTTGAGTATTTAAAGAAATACATCTGGTTTGTTCTTAACAATGTTACTTTAAAATTCCAGGATAATATGTGAGGCTGGAGTAGACTTTATATCTTTATCACTAAGATTTCAGAAGTAAGTTTTTAAACATGGTTGCCTTGTAGATTTATAATTTCTCTTTGTTAAGAGATTATATTTATAAGTTCCATAACCCAGATATCAAGGTTAATAACCATTGGGGGAATACTAAAAATAAGTAATTGTTAGTGTTATTATTTTATTTTATTGAAACTAAAAATTGTTGCCAATGTTGTTATAACCAAAACAAATATTAAATACCTATCAAAAATCTTTTATTAAAAAATTTAACTTTATTAAGAAATTGAAAATGTGACTGAATTCACGATATAAAAAAATACAAAACCTAAGTATATTCATTTACTATTTTGAAATTATTTTTTAAATGACTGACCTTGAGTTATACAAGTTAACCAGAGACAACAATGACTTAAATTGTGCTGTTGATAAAAAAGGTAACTAAAATCTCTTTCTTAAAAAACAAATTCAATAACAATGAAGTAAAATTTTAAAAAGTGTAATTAATAAAAAAAAAAATCTCTCGTAATGAAATTTCAAAAAGATAAAATTAATTCAGAGACAGATGCAGTATTTTCTTATGTTAGAGCTAACTTTTAGACATGGAGCAAAATCATTTTCATATTTATACTTATGTTAAATAAGGATGATTTACTATAAATTACGATGATTGTAGCCTGGTAACAAAAAATACCTAAAATTTTAGATATACCTGCTCCAAATGAGCAACAAGTTGATAAAACACTTTTTTTAATTTTTTTAACTAAACTTATATTAATTGATAAATTTTAAATTTCATACAATAATCTCTTAACGTTCAAAAATTATAACTATTTAACGTTTGAACTCCCATCAATTTAAGTAAATTAAAAATTTTAGTAGTTTAACTAACTTAACAATTTTATTTTTATTCTATTATCCTACATTGTAACATTTATTGTAAAATCTGTGTTCTACAATAAGCAAATATTTCACAACAAAAATTAAATAAAATATACATTAAACCAACTAAAAATTATTACCTGTTGATATATGAAGCTCATTCCCGATTGCTAATTTCCAAACTATTCCTCGAACACTAGGTGGAATTCCTTGAGACCATATGTCTCTTACCTTTTTTGATTTGTAGCTAAATATAAAAAACTTAAAGACTTAAAAAGTCTTACAACAAAAAGTTTAACTATAAAAATATACTTTTTCACTTTTATATTTTTACATGGTATTTATTACCTATTATCGTGTAACAAAACCCAGGTGAGCCCTTAAATCTTCCACTTCTTATAGAAATTCGTTTAAACTACAATTTGTAGTTAAAAGATAAACATAGTTGTTTATTTTCAATTTTTAAGGACTTAAGTATTGTTTGACAAAGATTGAAATTTTTCTTGATTTTTTTGTTTATCTTGAGTAGCTTAAGATCAGTTTCAACAATTATGTCAAAATTACTATAAATGTAACTGTTAAACTGCTGTTAGTTGTAAACTGTAACCATAAACGAAGGTAAGCCTAACATTCCATCACAATTTGATGGGATTGATCTTATTACCTCTTCCAATAACCTCTCAGAAAAATTTCTCTTAAGGATAGAACTTTAAGGGAGAACTATTCCTCTAAACCAACTCTTGAATCTAATAACAATATTCTTAATGCCATTCTAGTTAAACAGGTTAACCCATTGTTAGACATTAGACAAGCTACATTACTCCAGCTTCCCTTTTTTAAGCCATTTCACAATTAATCTCCTCTCTGGTTTATGGTCTACATAGCATTCTTGACTTAGCCTTACAAAAGTGTTTTTCAGAACTCTCTTCAACTCTCTCCAAACTATTTAATAAGTGCTTGACTAAACCTTGTTTTCCTGCCTGCTGGAAAATGGCATCTGTTATTCCAACTTTTATAAACTCTAGGGAACATTCTGACCCCTCCAACTATCTTCTGATCAGTCTTCTTTCTATTATTAGCAAGGTCTTTGAGCCTTTAATTAACAAATTTTAACATTTCATCTTGAGTCTAATAACTCTCTGAAAATCAAAATGGTTTTTGATCTTCTCGTTTTATGGCTAATTTGATAACTGATGTAACTGAAAGATTCTACTGTGCATTTGGTAAAGGCTATTGCTTTTGACATAACAATAACTTTCAATAAAGTTTGTAATGCTAGTTTTTTCCATGCTTGCTTCATATGATGGGAAAGTTTTTGAAATTATTAATTCATTTCCTTTTAACCGCTTTATTAAGGTCATCCTTGAAGGCTAATTTCTTTATTTCTGGGGTACCTCAAGGCACTTCCTTTGTCCTGTATTACTTCTTATTTACATTAATGATGTTCCTGACAATCTTACTTTAAAGTAGCACTATTTGCTGGCAACCCAACTTAATACTCCTGTCTTCATAAAAAGTCTTATCTTTTTGATCGCTTAAAACTTGCATCTGATCTTGAATCTGATTTTGTCCCAAGCTGTTACAAAAATATCTTTTTGTAACAGCTTGGGGCTTGCAATGATTTGTGAATTTTAACTCCAAAAAAATTCAGTTGTTTACTTCAAACAACTATCGCAATATTGTCAACATTCTTATGTATGTAAATGAATTTCCTCTCACTGAACCTTCTACTTTATGTCTTATTGGATTATCATTAACTACTTACCTCTCAAGAAAACCACGAAAACTTAATCCATTGCAAAGTTAGCATCTTCTGAAGTTGCTTCTCTTTATTGCGCCATTTTCTTACTCCTGATTCCATTCTTTACCTATACAAATCTCTTATTTGTCCCTGTAAGAAATACTGTTGTCATATTTGGGCTGGTTTTTCTAATGATGCTCTTTCTCTTTTTGACAAAAATGCATTGCAAATGTAGTTAAACCTTGAAGCTTTGAACTTGGCTAGGTTCAAAGCTTCAAGGTTTAACTACTAAAGCTTGAACGACTCCTCTATAGTTGTTAGGTTGCATCTCTTTCTCTTTTCTACAAATACTATCATGGTTGCTGCTCAAAGAGCTATTATCTCCAGTTTTTTTTTTCTCTCTATCAATGTTTGAAAATGCTTATGGTTCTACTATAACTTATCTTTGAATTCTTGGAAGTTATTAAAGAAGTATTTAAACCCTTGATCTTTTATTCCATGAAAGCTTCAAAAAAAATCTGTCCAGTAATAGACTGATAATTTTGACTTTTCCACATAGATTATTATATTTAAATAAATTCTCTATCTAGAGCAATCACAACAACCCATAGCAACCTTACAACAACAAAATTTCCCAGAAAAACTGGCTCAATTACCATTTAGTGCAAAATAATTTGCTTTGTGAGCATGACTATTTTTAGTCTATGAAAAAAACTTTTTCAGCACCCAATAAAAAGCCCCACTAACTAAATGGATACCATATGAAGCAATATCAATTAAATGAATAATAAATTTAATTAAACAACCAATGTCAAAAATGTTAAAATGTTTTCATTTCACACTAGATCCATCTAGTTAGGAAAACAACATTACAAGTCACTGTGTTAAAGATGTATCCGGTTATTTGCAGCTGCATGCCATAAAAAGTAAGGGGTGGGGCAGATATTTAAAAAATTCTAAATTCATGACTCGCTCTAATCTAAATGATACATTATTATTATGTTTATTAAATGGTTGAAAATATTTTGGTTTGTAATAGTATAATAATTAATAAAAATGTATGATTTTTATTCATTTTTAAACATATCATATCATAAACAATATTGAAAGATACTTACCATGTTTGCCAGTTAGGTATGAAATCTTCTTTCCATTGCTTAACTAAGTTTGATAATTGTTCTTCTAATTTTTTTCTTTCATTCATTTTCTTTTTCTGTAACTGCAAATCACGAAGTTCCTTGCGCCTTGCTGACTCAACTATCTCTGCATATAATTCATTATGCATTTGCTCTTCTTTTGGAGTTTTTGGAGGCAAACACGATGGACGATGCTCTAAAATAAGAGCTGTTGTAGATGATACTAAATTTGTGTTTTTTTCACTCCTGATTTGAGATGGACTTTTTGGTACAGGTATTGCAATATTGCCAAAAATATGCCAAGATTTTCTCTTAGGTTTCGATAGTAATCTTAAAATAAAAACATCATTATTATATATTATATATATGACAATATATATTATATATCATATAAGATATTCTGTCAGCAATTAACATATCTGAAAAATAGTTGTCTATTTATCTAATTAGATACATAACAAATAGTCATTGCAAGCAAATTGTGGCTAAATAGCAAAAAGTACATTAACACCATCATGACTTTTTAAATGTTTTAAGAACATTTCAAAAAAAAAAGCTGAACTTTACTAATAAGAAAATTAAAAAAAAAAATTTAACTAACAAAAGAAATGAAACTTTAACAAAAAGAAAAAATAACTTGAAAATAATATGAAAAAATAACTTTTTATTTTCATAAAAAACATTTATTTATTTGAAATTTTTAAAACTTTAATTTTTTTTTATATTTTCTTATAGTTTTTATAGTTTTTATATTTTAATATAATTTTTTATATTTTAATATAAGTTTTTATATTTTTTTATAGTTTTTTATGAAAGAAAATGAAGCATAATGAAAAATACACCTTTTTTTTGTTAATATAAATGTTCTCCATACTAGTACCGTGAGATAGTTGAAACAAAGTAAAAGTATTTTTATACTAAGGTATTGCAAATTTCTGGTAAATTGGATTTCTGTGAAAACATATGTAAAGTATGTTTTAAACTCATTTTTAAAACTTTTTTTTATATAATAAATAAATAAAAAAATAAAAAAATTAATACCATAAAGTGGTGTTCAAAACAATAAAACTTAATAAGATGGTTTTTTTTTATATTAAAAACATCTTCAAATAAAATTTATTTTAAAAAACTGTGAAAATTTTTTATTTTATTTTCAATGGTACAAAACATAAAAAAAGGCAATGTTTTTATGTTAGCTATGTTTTGTAGTTTTTACGCAACAATATTAAAAAATCATAAAAGTATTTAAATTTTTTTTTATTTATCTTTTGAGATCCAGGGCATTTGTGAAGAAACTATTTTTGGATTAATTTAGAAAAATATGGAATATTTTCTAGAAAATTAATTTAGAAAAATATGGAATTCATAAAACAATTAAGAATAAAACAATACATTTGGTTTTAAATTTTACTAACACAACTTGTTTTTAAGCAATTGTAAATATAAGATTTTTATATTAAAAAGTTAGCACCTTTTCTCATTTTAATGAAATAGATATTATTAGTCTGTGTAAGAATATCTGATTTATTTTGTAAAATTTGTATTTTTTATCTTATCTACTTAAAGTGACAAAACTGCAATGATTATGCGGGAAATTAAAATAATGTTTAACTTATAATTTTAAAAAATTAAAATAAGGCTTTGCTTATAATTCAATTGTTATTTATTAGTAAAGTATTAAAGTACTAAATATTTATATATATAAAACTTCACTTTAAGGCTTACTTTTTTAAAGTTAAAAAAAATACTAATTTACTTTATATTTAACTAAAACTTTTTTTTTTTTCACTAAACAACATTTTCTAATAGTTTTTCTTTCACTAAACAAGTTTTTAAACAACTGAAAATAACAACTATCCTGAAACAACTGAAACACTTTTAAACTATTCAAAACTCCTTAACTTAATTACATTTTATTTAAAATTTCTTTTAAACATTTTAATTGCTTAACTAAAATGTGTTTTATGTGCACAAAGTGACAAATATACAAACAAACCGACCGGACAGCAACCTAAGAAAAAAAGGGCACAAAATACTTTATATGTTTCTGAATATATAACAATATATTTAAATTTTTAATCGAATTTTAAACTGGAAATTTTACATATACTTAAAAATTAAAAAAATTGTCTCATTTATTAGAATAAATATAAATATAAATACGTATATATATATATATATATATATATATATATATATATATATATATATATATATATATATATATATATATATATATATATATATGCATATATATATATATATATATATATATATATATATATATAAATATGTATATATATATATATATATATATATATATATATATATATATATATATATATATATATATATATATATATATATATATATATATATATATATATATATATATATAATATATATATATGTATATATATATAGGTGCAGATGCAGCATTTTTTGATGTTTGAGATACCTAACTTCCAGGCATGGAGCAAACTCCAAAAATTTATATGTTTATACTTATATCAAATAACGATGCTTTACAAAAAATTGCACCGATTAGAGCCTGGGAACAAAAAAAGCCCTAAAGTATTAGCTATACCTGCCCCAAACGTGAGAGCAACAAGTTGATAAAATAATTGGTATACTATTCTAAACTAAATCTATATTCATCGATAAATTTTAAAATTCACACAATCTTTTGGCATTCAAAAACTATGACCATAAAAAGTTTGGACCCCCCTCAGTTTAAGGGGGCTGCAAATTTCATAAGGCCATAATTATTGAATGCTATGAGATTATTGTGTGAGTTTTAAAATTTATCAATGAATATATACTTGAGAATAGTTGAGAATAGTAGAAAAAATATTTTATCAACTTTATTCATTCATCGCTATTCACTTGAGTAGTTAAGACGCGTTTTATTTGGTCGTAAGTTTCGAGTTCTTTTTTTTTCTTTTCTTTCAACTGTTCTCTTTTACTTTTTTTTTTTTCTTTCTTTTCTTTTTCTTTTCTTTTTTTCTTCTTCTATCATATATCTTATATACTTTCATATTAATATTCATTACCGATTATTCTACTATATTACAATATATTATCGGTTCGAAGTCAATTGCTCCGAATTAACTACATAGTAACTGAATATAATATATAGCTGCTTTTTATTATTTATATTTATATAAATAAATATTTTAAACTAACATTATCTCATCGAAGATCCTATTTAGACTTATATTATATTATATTTAAAAGGTTTTTAACGAGTTTTAACTCTATTTATATATATATATATATATATATATTATATATATATATATATATATATATATATATATATATATATATATATATATATATATATATATATTAAGATTTATTCTCAACATTCTAAAGTTTTCTTTTGTAGCTTTCTAGTTGTTATAAAATTGCGTTTGCACCTGATTCTTAATCTGTTGTTTGTTTTCGGATTAATTTTTTAACACATTACTACCTTTGTGTACTCTTGTGATTGCGACAATTATTATTTATATTAATTAATATATATATATATATATATATATATATATATATATATATATATATATATATACGGAAAAACTATTGTTATATGTAAACACATAAACACGTATTACAAACTTTTTATTCTCTGTGTAATAAGATATTTACATTTTTTTTTTACTAATATATAAACTTTACAGATATAAATTATTTCTGAGGATTTATCGAGTTAAAAGCAATTCATTTATAACTTTAAATTCGTTTATAACCTATAAACCTTAAAATCGCTTCAACTGTTAATTACTAATAATAGTAACGCAAAACAGCTTAATGATGCTCTTGAAAACGCTGATAAAATTGCCAAAGAAGAGCTGAAACAAGCTCTTCATGTAACTAAAACACTTATAGCCAGAATTGACGAACTTACTAATAGAATCGATCAGCAGGATATTGAAATAAAGTCTTTAAAAGATAGCAAAAGTAGTGAAAAACCTTTGTTATTTAAATTAGTTGAACAAGTCGGCAAACCCGGTACATAAGCAAACGTAGCTGTAGTGAGCGCCCTCAATAAGCACAACAAGGACGTGACTAACAGAGAAAAGAGAATTGTAGTGTTTGGTCTACCAGAATCTGTTAAAACTCAACCAAGCGAGATAACCAAAGATGGTACTGCAGAATTCAAGAAGGTTATGGCATCTTTAAGTAAATCAGTCAATGTAATTAGAATTGAACGTTTCAAAAAAAAAAAAAAGAACTTTGATTCTAGTAAACCCGCTCATCTTATGATTGAAGTTGATTCAGTATTTATCAGAAATGACGTTCTAGTGTTGGCTAAACAACTGGCATCGGGTACTTTTAAAGATATATTTACACGCCCCAATCGCACAGCAGCAGAGCAAAGCGAATTTATTAAATTAAACTTAGAAAGAAAAGCAGCTAAATCTGACCTTGGCAAGCTTGAAAAACTTGACAAGCCCTTTAGATTTGTCATCCGCAGCAATAAATTGCGATGCATTGATGTCTCGCAGGAAGTTGAAATCAATGGACGTAAAAAGCATCCTTTCATCAAATGGAAAGATGCACAAGCAGCCAGAACTGCTAAAACATAATGAATCAAATCGTTTAACTGCAAATACTTATTTAAATGCATTAAATACAAAAACAAAATCTGCTAAATCTAACCCTAAAAATAAACTTTTAAAATGTTTTCATACTAACGCAACTTCTCTTAATCCAACTAAAATGAACGAGTTATCTGCACTCTGTGATATAAACATACCTGATTTAATCTTTATTTCTGAGATATGGTTTACTGAAACATCTGCCACTCAATTAAATAACTATTCACTAGTGAAAAAAAATAGAATAGGTCACGGTGGAGGTGTTGCTATCTACATTAAGCGTGATCTAGTCGCGCATGAGGTATCTGATTGTCATCTAAGAGAGACTTAAAACTACAGCAACTCCGAGCAAATATGGTGCGAAATTAAAATTGTTAACGAAATGATTCTTATTGGCTGTGTCTATAGACCACCTTTATCCCATATAGATGATATAAATAAAACAATTATTTCAGCTAAGCAAGCTGTTGATAGAAAAGCATACAGTTGTATGTTATTAACAGGTGATTTCAACTTTCTGGATATTAAATGGCATAATGACAAAAGAATCGAATTATTAGGCGGTCAAAATAGTGCTGCAAGTGTTTTTCTTGTAACTTTGGCTAACCATAATCTAGAACAATTACTTGATTTCTCAACCTTCGAAGCATCTAATGGAAATGCAAAAAATGTTTTGGATTTAATTATTACAGACTCTTCAACAAGAGTAATCAATTTATCTAGCTC